AACTCTCTGGTTACGTTGTAGTGCTCTGTTTTACCTGAGAATTAAGCCGACCAAGTAAAGTCACCGTTGTATATGGAGCTCGATAGCGCTAGTTGTAAGGACAGAAAAAACCCAACCCTATTCAAGTGGAACAGAGACCTGGTTACACATTTGTTTTAAGCAATATAATCCAACATAATTTTGCAGACATCAAATTACAGGTTGTGAAGGATCCACCGAATAAAGTTAGAAGAAAATCGAGGATTGGTAGATTTATTAAAAACATTTATTTATTCACATATGGGGGTCGGGGAAGAGGGAGTGTAGGAAGAGCCCTCCTCCTTTCCCTCCAGTCGGTGGCCAGGTGTCTTTGCTCCCTGGCTGCGGTCTCGGCCATCTGGACCAGACGGACCTGTTCCCTCGGGTCCGAGCGGAGCACCACGGTCTCTCAATGCTCAGAGGTTCTAATGTTTAACGGTACATTCTAAAGGCCCGTTCACACACTTGCAACCAAGTACGACCGAGAGAGACGAGACCTGTTGAAACTGCAGCCCGATCACAGCCGCTTGCTTTCCGGCAGAGAAGCCGCTGATCGACTGCGATCGTAGCCGAATGCTCCAGTGTACCTTTTCATTGTAAGACACCAACATCCAATGAAATAAATTGAAAAACAAAACAAAATAAAACAAGAAGGACAGACATAAAATACCCTGTGTTTTTCCGTTCCTTCAATGTTTTCTTTTAGTCTTTGTTCTGTCGGCCAACTTCACGAAACAAATGATCGCAAGCTTGAAAACGCTCCTGGTCGCAAAGTTTTTCTTTGGCCCGCCGATGCGCCAGGCTGGTGAAGTCTGCTGCTCTCTCAGAAAACATAGGCAAGTGGACATAAAAACCGAAATGTTACGATCAAATATAGTACGATTTTTATTATTTAGATGGTCACGTGGTTTTATCTCCACTATGCATGTGTGTATTGTTTTTGGCGGGACGCGGAATCATCTAATAGCTTCAGAAGCTTCTGTTCAGTGTACATGCGAGGTGAGTTGCCGCAGGACTACTTCCATCCCAAGAGTTCGCGAGGTAAGTTAGAGATTTCCTCAATTGTGATGCGTGGAAATGTGAGCTTATTCTGGATAGGAGTTTCAAGAGAAGTTTGCATAGTCGTACAAGACCGCGTTATTCAAAGCTGGCGTTGTGACCCCCCCCCCCCCTTTTTTTTTTCCTTTTTTTTTTTCTGCGAAGGTTTCGATAGACGTGGCGCATTTCGATTTGAAATATAAACTTCGAACACACATACTTAATTAGTAAAGTTTTTTTTTAAGAGAGCTTTGCCCAAATACCGTTAACGTTAGAGGGTATTAGTAGGTTGTTCCGGTAACTACGATAATAATACTGGATACTTTTTGACACCTTTCCCCATGCAAAATACCCCTGTCGGATGTTAATATCGGGGGTATAAAAACGAGCTGATAAAGCTTTCTACTGCCACGCCGGAACCGCATCAGAAACGAATGGCAAACAGAACGTTTTCAGCTACCTCTGTTTTTACGAGCAGCGGGTTGCATTTCAAAAGTGAGTATCTTTTCTCTTTGTTTTTTCTTTGTTTTTCGCGGTATACATTTCCGGTCCGTTTTCAGCGCGACATCCGCAGTAATAGTAACGCGCGTTGTAAAAATGCAGTTCTCTTCGTCTCTGTGGAGCCCCCACCTGCTCAGCTCGAAACAAGGGTCTGCAGCGCGCACCTACATCTATGCTGGGGATTCAAAAACGCTATCTGTACATATATTCTGTATTCGACGCGCCTCTCGGGGGTTTGCCGCTTGGCTTACCTGTTTTAGGAGCTACGATATAGAGTCGTGACAATGATTCCTTACTTTCTAGACCCTAGAATGTAACGGTCGCCGTTACCGTGCGCTCAGCTGTCTACTCCACTCGATGCGCAATGAAACTGTTTATTAAAAAAACAAAAAAAAACGAACGATTGCAAACTCCGTCGGCGTTTTAAAGCGAAGTTGCATTAACTTGTAACTGTACACGTGAAAATATCACTCTTTGCTAGAACACGTCCCCTCCCCGTATGGAAATTATTTTTTTATAAAATTATACTTATGTTTAGTAAAATATGCTCCTTAGTTTTCAATCTTTGTGCTTTCCACATAATATAAGTGTAACCGCAAACAGAAATATTTGCTTTTGTGGTACTTCGCAGAAGAGGATATCGCACCCCTCCTTCCCTTCCTCTCTCCCTCCCTCCCTTCCCCAACTCAAACTTTCAAGTAAACAATATCGAGAGGGACGATTTTGCACTTTAATCAAGACAATACCCGGAATGGGATACCCTAAAAACTTGCGGAAATCGTTTTATTAAAACGTTCTAACTCAGAGCTTCCAAAAATATTATTGCCATGAAAAAATACTTCCGAAGTCATAATTATGAGTCTCTCAAACTTCACCAGAAATCGCTATATATGCAGTGTTTCAACTGTTCAGTTAGATGCTATTTATTATTCATATTCATCAAGTATATCTCTTCCGAGAGTTCCGCAAGAGGTTCAATCGCAGAAACAAGGAAGAAAAATTGGTCTAGTAGGCGATCCCAGAAAGGCTGGAGAAACGTTAGGTTTTGGCTCTGCTAATTCAAAGGACAAGGATTTGAAAACAAACGCCGACCCTGCCGTTAGCGACTTATTTCACAAATGGCCAAAAAGCGGGTATTTTATTTTTATCAGAGATAAAAAATACTTTCACGAAACCGCGCCTTAATAAAATAAAAATATATAGGTGCATTGTTGCTTCACTTTTTATTTCATGTATTCCTTCCCCTGAAAACGTAACCAAACTACGCTTCAATTTTAAATGCACCACTATGTCCATGTGTCACAAAACCAAACCTAACCTAACTGGTTTAAAGTTGTGTATGTGTAACATAAATAAGAATAAAAAAACTAACGACCTTACAGAACCTGAAATTTAACTAAGAGCAAGTAATGGTATGTGTAATATATTTTATTGCTTTCATTGCTGAAAAGCATTCATTAGCATACTTCAAAGCAGAGGGGCGAAATATGCCCACTCCAATACGAATGCGACTTTTAGCAATGTGCAGTGTTACCAACCAAACTACCTCACTGAGTTATGAGGAACCTGCATAAAATTGTATGTTAATTATTTTGTAAAACATTCAATAGCTAGGTGTTTTGGTATGTTTTAGTAATATATTAGTACCTGTGACTCACTTTACTAACTCCTAATTTAGTACAATTAAAAAGGCAGGGTGTTACAAACCACCCTTCGCTCAGAGAAGGCAGTCGATGCCGTCCCGATACCGGCAAATACTACGGGGCCGTCATCAGGCCGTCGCTGGAAGCCGCACTTGGCCCGGAATAAACATCAAAAGCGGCCCGGAACCAGGATCCATTGTCAGCCCGAAATCGGCAGCCGGTGCCGGCCCTTTGCCGGATAATTCGTTTCAGCCATTGTTGGGCCAGACATTGGAGCCACTGTCGGCCGGAATGAGCAACCGGTGCTGGCCCGTGGCCGTATAATTTGTTTTAACCGTTGTTGGGTCGAAGCTGGGAGCCGCTCTCGGCCTGGAATCGGCGCTGGTGTCGGGCCGGGTTCGGCGCTGGTGTCGGGCTGGGTTCGGTGGGGTGTTGCAAAATCAGAATTGGATCGGCACTGGCACCCCACCCCGTCCTGAAAACCTCTCCCGGCGCCAGCCCATTGTCTCGCCAATTTTTCGTGCTTCTTTGGGAAGCTCAAAATTGATGCTTTTTTTTTTACTTTTTTAATATTTTGAAAATTTCGGGAGCACTGAAAAGCATATTTATTGTCCTACAGTATTTTTTAGGAAATTTTAATGGAACTGCATAGTCGGTAGAAAAACAATTTCAGTTTAAAGGTTTTGTCTTAAGTGTCCTAAACGTTCGTGGAAAAATGCCTAATTACGAAAGAGTTGCTCAAAAAGATGAATTCGCTTTTTTATTTCTCTTAAAGTATGTAATAAGATGAAATTAATTTGATTAATTCTGGTAGTAAAGCTTCTATGCGTTCTGTATAAAAAAAAAAGTTTGATAATGTGGACAATTCCATTCTTTATACCAGGTGCCTTCAAATTTGCGTCAACGCGCAATTGGGAAAGTTCTCTTTTCAACCTCAACTTAGGTGCGATTTTTTTTTTTTTTTAGAAATACAACAATCTTTTTCAAAATTAAGGTTTTTACCGTTGTGTAAACGCATTTCTACAACTCAGAAAAAAAATGTTTAAATTAAGAAAAAGGCGAGACGCCACTCTGACCGTCCTAGTCTGAACACGCCCTGCTACAGGCCGTGCGTCTTCTTTCTTCGCGTGCGTGTGACGCTTTCTCATAACACAGGAGCGCTACATTATTCCATAAAATCTATACAGAAATATATCATGGGTTTTAAAGCAACAAAGGAACGCCGTTCCTATTGCCCTTTTATCGAAAACTCATCGAGTTCCCGTTGCGGCTCCACTGACGCAAGAAGGAACGGCGGCGTTCCTCCTTTCCTCCTGAGAGGAACGCGTTTTAAGAACGTGTTTCCTTCGAAATCAGTGCCGTACAACATTGTTATGAATCAACTCCTGAAGAAATGAAACCCTATATTCAACCAAAATGTACACATGCCGACTGTGGACTCTTTTTGCATTTGGAATTCCACTAGCCTCTTAGTATCGGTCTCATCTGCAATTCCCGATGATTGCACAGCTGTATCTAACGCACTTATTGAAGACTACGCATCAGCTAGATCAGCTTTATAAGAAGCAAATTGGTGCATGAAGTGATATACTGATTGTCGATTAGTTTTTAAAGCTATTGTCTCTGAGGTATTAGTATCAACACACAAAGCTCTCTATTTTATGTCAGTTCTGCCAGGGTCTTTAAGTCCAAAAACCAGACTTTCTACAAATAAATTGCTACTTGTTTTACATTATTTAGGCTATTGAGCACAAATTAATTGCAGGAATAAAATAGACATCCTTTTGAGATTTATTGTTTTCAAATTTTGATGGCGTGAACCACGAATATGTCTAAGAGAAACTGAGGGAATCCAGCCAGTTCTTCTGTCCAGAACGAGCGCATAACCTCCTCAACATCAGTCTTGAATTCCGCCTTTGCTTCCTCGGGCAGCAAAGGTTGAATGCAATCTAGCGAGAGCATCATTTCTGAAAAGCAAAAAAAATAAAAGAACTGTTTTCTTACTGAGCAAATGAGAGTAACACCTTGCACTTAAAGTAAAATATCCATATGGGACATTTCCAAAAACAGAGTGCAAGCTTTACACGAGCACCGAAGGTAAGCATGCAATGTTTAGATAAAAAGTTTAATGGCTTCGGATATTACTAGTAAGCTAAACGTGTTTTCTTCAGTTCATTCGCTTTGCTGGCGCAACTGGCATTACTTTAAAAAGTGCTTCAAGCGAGCATCTAGAGGTTTAGTGAGAACTTTTTCACCACCTAGAGTTTATTAATTCTTGGAACCACATACTAAAGCTATTATACCTCAAACTACTTAATCGTAAAGGAAAGTATTCGCTTGTTGCCGGAAAAATCAAAATATTTTCCTCGGCTTCTCCGCTCTACCGAATTTCCTGTTTGAAATAGAAAAAAAGGCCCCTTGCCAGGTTTATGTATAAAGAGGTCTTCATATGAGTACGCATGCTTGAAAAGTCACTTGCAAAACATTAAGAGATTAGCGAGAGGCATATCCCTTAGGCGCATCATGTCGGCCTTTCAACAGCGACTCAAGAAAAACAAACAGATCATTCGACAGTACGTTCAACCTGGTATAAGCCGAGAGCCGCCCTTTTGAACTAATGAGCATATACAAGAATACAACTAATAAACAGAGACATATTGTGAAGATGCTAAATATAGAAAGTTGGCACTTCAGGTATACCAAAGAAGTACATCTGCGGTCATGGGCCCTTCTCCGTCCTCCTATGGGCCACCGAGAGGAGAATCCACTCCAGAATAATATCAAAATCTTACGTATGAATTCATCCACATCAAGACAACTTTGCTCGTTGGTCAGTACTTGGATGGTGCGTGGCTGGAGACTGGCACCCTCAAGAGCGCCCAGCATGTAAGATTTAATTTCCGACCTGTCTTCTACATTTCCGGTTGAGGGGATGAACCGCTGAATAGCCTGAAGTAAAATATGACAGATTATATGCAAGTAATAAAAGCTGTAATACAGTCGCTCTCAATAAACAGGACTGTCCTCTATCTTACCGCTTTTGTTTTGTGGGATCTTTTGGTATTGGGTTATACTGCCAAGCGAGAACCTTTAGCATGTAACTTTACCGATTTTGCGAGGTTTAAGGGGTTTAAGAAGCTGAGTGCGAACTACATCAAATAAATTTCATTTTTAACAAACGACAAAGCACCAGATCAAGATGTAAGTTATCTTCAATATTCGGCGCCTCTAGGAATCAACACCTCCCGGCTTCCCGTAGCAGAGACTGCCGACGTACATCAACCTTTGCTCACCGACATAAAAAGGCTCGCAGCACCACTATCGGTGTCAATACTACCGATACGGCAGCATATAGATTGCTCCAATTATAAACAATTGTGTGCAGACCTTTCTGCCTTCTTGGATTTCGAACGCGTTTTGGGACCCGTAGACCAGAGCTGTATTATTCAAAACGTTTATCGTCAAGCATGAGTCTAGAGCCAAGTTCCTCGACATTTCTTGTCTAGGTGCTCAACGTTGGAATGGTGCATAATTGTTGACCAGTTGTTTCACTAGGGAATTATACAGTCTTGCGAGTTCTTTAAGAAATGAATGTCATGCTGTGTCGGTAAAATTGCTGGTGCAAGAGTTACTGTGTTAAATTGTTTGCGTAAAGTTGCTATTTTTTATTGAGCAGTTATCTCGCATTTTGTGTAAACATTCTAGCAAAAACAAAATGGGGCTTTTTAAAAATATTTCATTTTTTTTCAAATAACCAAATAATTGTGCTCAACATTTTGCATAAAATAATTTACGATTTTTACCATTGTAACTGTCGGAGACTAAGTACCCTGCTTGTCTTTCACGTCCTGATTTACTTGATAAAATTATAGTTTTCAGCTTATTGGTGTCTTTTCGTAGAATATATAGGCGCTTTTCATGTAAGCAGGGCAACTATTGTGACTGAGACCGGCGTCATTAGAGATTTTGTGAAGCCACGCTTGTCGAGAAAAGTGGGGGTCTCTATGTTGATTTGTTTGTGTATTATGCTTTGTCATTGGTGCTGCCCAAACTCACAATAAAAAAATGACCACATCTCTACGTGGGGCGAAGATGTTGATTGGGGCGAAACTCTGGTGGTACTGGTGATACTGATATTGTTCATAAGTAGTGCTGACGGGCGCTGATTTTTTTTTTACTGCTCATGGGTTCCGGGTTGCGTTTTGACTTCATTATTACAGCTTTATGGTCAATGACATGCAGAGCCAGTGGTTCTTCTAGCGGTTCCTCTAGCCTTTCGTTCATTTTCATCCATGTCAGAAAGAGAATGTGTGCCATGGAATGTGGTTATATGCGCATTTGAGCATTCGACCGCAGCGCCCTCTCGTCTATAAACGTTGAGCAAATGTATGCAATGTTTAACGCGATTATATACGCATTTGACCGCAGCGCCCTCTCCTGTATAGACGCTGAGCGGCTACATGCAACGTTTTATCCATGACATCCCCAGCTCTTGAGTTAATACCACATCTCAGAGCCCCCTCCTCGTCCCGCAGTCGTGATCGAATTGTTAAGGCGATGGACTAGAAATGTATTGGGGTCTCCCCGTACAGGTTCGAATCCTATCGACTGCGCAAACTCTTTTTTCTTCTTTTTTTAAGAAGACAGATGGCGTGGCAATCGATGTGAGCACGGACGCCGGACGGACAAGCCTAGACCCTAAGGAGCTTCGCCCCAAAAAAACTGGGTGACCAGAAAAACTCACTCCTCTGAAGTGCTTCCATCGACCCACTTCCACAATTCGGCGAGCAGGGAGCACCAGCAAGCACTCCCCTTTGTCGGTCAGCAAGTCGGCCACATTTCGAAGTGCAGCTGTGAGGTCCTCGGTCCAGTGCAGGACGAAAAAAGAGTAGACGCGGTTGTATTTGCCGTACATCTCGGCGAGTCCCGAAGCGTCGCTATCGTTGCTCCGTTCCTCGTTCGCCACCTGTGACTGTTTTAAGGTCTCCTTGGCGTTCTCCACCATATCTTGGGATGTGTCTGTAGCCACGGTCTCGCTGCGAGGCTCCTCGAGAGGTAGCAATTTTTGAGGCGGAGAGTCTCCCGTCCCTTCGCCTACGTAGATAAGCTGCTGGCAGTCGTTGGATTTGGTACTGAATGACATTTTCCGTAAGTCGAGCGCCTTGATGCCCAGGTTGCTCTCGCCTTTCTTGGATTTCATGTAGATATCCCGAATGGTTCTCTCCTTAAGCTGGTGTTTCTTTCCAGTGTTATCAATGGAAGTTGCATTTCCCATTTTGCTGCAAAATATACGCCAACTGTATTTAAAGGACTGCTCCGAATATTAATTCAGTAAACAATTTCGAAATGGAGCCTATAGTTGCATGTGCTTCGTATCAACGCCTGATTAAAACTAAAACCGTTATCAATTTTCGAAATGAGAAGCGAGGTTTTGGACGAGGATATATACTGTAACATCTTTAGATTACGGGTTACACGAATTTGTGCCCGTAATGAAGACGGGTGGTCAGGCTAATATAGTATTTTTAGATTTTACTAGAGCTCATGATCGCTATTTTTCGTGAAATTTTGTAACATAAATTGAGCTGTTTCATCAGTAACGTAAATATACTGCGACGACTTGATTCCTATACGCCTCGCAAGTGGGCTCATTTTCGTCTTCTGCGCATGAGAAAGGAAGTAGCGGTGACGTCAGAACGCCGAGTCCTGATTGGCTGATCGCGACCCCCTATTGAGCGTCGTCTGCTCCTTTGCAACGTCGTCTGCTCGCAACATCGTCTGCGTCTGTCTTACCTTTCCTGCGACTTTCGGAGCGAACTCGACTTGGCCTTTAAGGGAGGGCAGACGAAATAACTCGAGCGGTACGTTGTTTTCGTCTAACAACTAGCAGACGCGCATCAAGGAGGGAAGTCAAAGGACTCACTGGCGAGGTGTCCCGGGGCGCCGAGGTTCGTTTGCTTAGTGTCCGCAAGTTCCCTCCCAAATACTTTTTACCTCCATTCGTGTGCGGCGAGACCCCTCACTCTTTAACGGCGCCGGCGGGTTGGCGCAGTTAACGTCGTCTGCTTTACGTCTGCTAGTCAAAGCGATGGCTGCTTTACCTTTCCTGCGTCTGTCGGAGATTCGCCGCTTTTTCACCGGCGAGAGTCACCGTTGCCTCGGGAAACAAGGAGATAACAAGAGGAAGAAATTGACCTCTTAATCTAAAATTGAGGTCAGCGATCAAAGTATAACACGGGAAGGGTTCACAAGGGTCGCGCGGGCATATTCCATTCAGCACGTCAGCCGGTCGTGGGCAGACGGTCGCCGAGTCGCGGAGTGCCTGCTAGGCCTAACTGCCCAGCTCGTTTGGTCGCGTTCGGTGGAATCGTCGCCGTTGGAGCTTTTCCCCGGTGTCTGTGGATCCAGCGTTCTTGTTCGTTGTGCTCTGTTTCAAGTAATTTTTACTTTTTTTTTGCTGCTTGAAGTCAGGACGCGTGAGAAGCTCACGTAGAAAAATAAACGTCCGTGGGTCGTCGCGATCGCGACGCTGTCGGCCATGCTGACTTGATCGTAAGAAGTGCGTAAGACAGCTTCGGAGCTGTCGTAGGATTTCGCCGTAACCTGCGCAAAACTTACGAAAATTTCGTTTCGTGAATACGAATTTGTTCTTAAGTTTTGTCTTACGCACATTTTTGGCGTAAGATCGTTTCGTGAATCTGGCCTCTGCACTTCCGAAAGTCGCAGGAAACGTAAGACAGACGCAGACGACGTTGCGGGCAGACGACGTTGCAAAGAAGCAGACGACGCTCAGATAGGGGGGCTCGATCAGCCAATCAGGGCTCGGCGTTCTGACGTCACCGCTACCCCCTGCGCAAGGAGCAGACGAACTTGCCGTCCGCATATCACAAATTGCCGCCAGTCTGTGACGGTCAATTGTAATTTTCCCCTGAGTCATCTGTATTCCCGTGCGTACCCCCCAAGAATCTGTTCTGGGGCCGCTTTTAATTTTATCAGTGATTTGAAGATAGAAAATCTATTTGTGCAATGTCGCTTTTTGTCTCTGTATATTATTATCATGTGTAAGCCAACTTTCCGATGAGAGAGAGATGGATCACTCTAACCTAAATTCATTTCTGGTGTTTAAACTAGAATATGGCTCTGAAGCGCAAGAAGTGGGTGAAAATGTCTTTAAAGCAGAAATGTGCACCGCTGTCTTTTAGTTACAGTATTAGTACTGATCAACTTGTTTGTTAAGCAATTTTGATATCTCGGTGTTTTAATTACATCTTATTTGATCTGGAACGCCCACGTAAAATTTATCGCTCGGAAAGCTTTGCAGAAACAGTTTTTTTAAGACGTAACCTTTGTGACTGTATGACGTAGACAAAGTTAACGGCTTATAGAAGAATACTTAGACTCATGTTAGACTGCGCGGATGTTGTATGGCATCTCCACCAAGCCTTCTTCCAATGTTCTCGGGGATGTAAAAAAAAAATTTGGCGGCTAGCGTAATACCGCTACAAATTTATGTCTTCAATTTTTGAATTATATGCCTTGTCAGTACTGCATGATCTAGCGACACTACGTTCATTATATCGTCTAAAGATTATTTTTCATATATTTTGTTGCAATTTGCGACTGCTTGAACTATTCCTTGGTATTCAGCAAAGTCAACGTGAAAACGAAACCTGGAGTGACACAGAAGAAATGGTATCTAACTTTATCAAAACCAAACTGACGCCTAACCTTGACGCAATAGAAAGAGCCCATTGACTGGGGCCTAAACGTCTATGGTCTATCCGTCTAATAACTGTCCGCTTCCTCAGCTTCAAAGCCAAAAATATCGTTCCCCGAAACACTACTAAGTTAAAAAAAAAAAAAATTGTGTCACCCAGGGTATGGGTTTCGGAGGATTATTCGCCGAGAGTACGTTTCAAAAGAAAAAAAGTTGCTGGATTTTGCCGCCCGGTTTAGGGATCACCATATTAGTTACAAACTTTCGTTTGGTGAATTGCATGTTGTTAATGAAACGTATGTGTATAACTATACTATCGAAACTGTCCCACCTGTTCAAAAACCATCTAAAGTTGTCCGTGCAGGCGACTGACGAAACTGGAATGTACCTCAAGGTTCCGTTAAAGCGACATTGACCTTTTGTTTTGCAACTTTTCGTAGTTTAATTTCAAAGCAAAATGCATTTCAGTACATTTCCGCCTCTTGCAAACCTGACATATTCATTGGAATTGAAACTTGGTTGAGATCAAGCGTAGACAACAAAAAAGCTAACCTTGAGCAAATCATGCAAATTATATCGTAAAGATCGCCCAAATGCAAGGGGCGGTGGTGTGCTCATTGCGGTTGAAGCTACTTTAATATATACGTTAATTACTTATGACACGTTTCTTAAAACGTTCTCTATATGTCTGCAGCTGGGTTTTCGTAAAGTTTTAATCGGTGCATGTTATCGTCCGCAAAACACAAGCCCTAGAGAATTTCATGATGTCATGTGGCTTTCCTTAAGTGCCATAGGGCACTTAACGAAAGCTTACCAAAACGACGACATAATATTATCAGGCGACTTCAATGATCAAGGTGTAGACTGGGCGACGCTTAGTCCCTCATTTCAGTGTGCCTATCCGAGTCACAGCAATAATTTTTTTCCCTTGTCTAACTGTTCGGGCTGCACCGACTAGTGCCCCGAGGCAATGCGGTTTTAACCAATTTTTTTGTTAACAACCCCGACCAAATAAGCACAATAGATGTGTTGGATTTCATCAGTGATCATGCGATTATTCACGCTGAAACTACCTTTACCTCTGGAAACCGAGCAAACAATCGCAAGAAAATATTTAACTATGCTCGCGCAAATAGGGAAGCTATGAATATCTCGCTAAATGTACCTTAGAACAATTACTGGCCCATCATTAAAATCTCTCGATAGCTGAAAATTGGTTTGGATTTAAACGAGAAATTCTGAATTTGGTGTCAACCAGCATTCCTAAAATCAATATTGCATCCAACTATCTCCCACCCTGGTTCACAAATTCCCTAAAACGTATGTGGAGCAAGAAGATGTTGGTCCAGAAGCAAAAAGAACTAACAGAGACGATGACTGGCTCGCACATAGTGTTTGAGAAAAAATAAAATTAAAAAGAAAAAACTGTTTTTCGGAGACAATCTGACACATGTGTAAAGAACCGATCCTCGTTATTTCTGGAAAATCTTAAATCTTAGTGTAACTCGAAGTAACTTGCTGTTCACAAACCAAGAGGGAGACTGCCTCTCCGATAACGATGTGGGCCATATGCTGAATCGCTTATTCTTGACGGTATTCACTCAAGAATCATTCCCGCTTCCTTTGCCACCGGAGGTTAAATTTGCACCCATGTCTCCCATTTCATTCCCGAGTAACGGCATCGCCAAACTTAATGATAAACTCCCGTCTCACTGCGTCGCTGGCGATGATGCCATATCTTCAAAAGTACTAAAAATGTTAAACCACTCTGCCTCTGTTCTTTTATTCCTGTTATTTTAGCAAAGTCTTCATAATGGCACTGTTCCAACTGACGAGTGTTTTGCTATCATCAAACCAATCTTCAAATCTGGCATAAAGTTAGACCCTTCAAAGTATCGGCCTATCTTTCTCACTAGCGTTTCGTGCAAGATAATGGAACACGTCACTGTTACAGCTATTATGTCCCACTTCGACGGCAATGACTTGCTTTTTTTTTAATCAGCACCGCTTCAGATAAAATCACTCATGTAATACTCAGTTATTTGAGTTCATCACGTATTTGCACTTTAACACTGATGCTGGTACCGAGACTGATGTTATTTTCATCGCCTTTGCAAAGGCATTTGATACAGTTCCCCATTATCGCCTACTATTAAAATTATTCCATCTTCAAATGGATTCATCTATCGTAGAATAGATTTTGCATATTATAACCCAATCAGTAAGGTTAAACGATACACTTTGCTCAAAACTTCCCGTGACATCAGGCGTTCCTCACGGTGGCGTAATTGGTCTCCTCTTGTTTCTCATTTATGTCAGTAATCTTCCATTCAGCTTAACATGAACAATTACGTTGTTTGCAGACGATTGTGTTATATATAGAAAAATAACTTGTACAAATTATAGGCGCGCTCAACAAATATACCTTGACAAAATTAGTAATTGGTGCTTAAAATGTCAGCTTAATATTATCATCGAAAAATTCCCGCTAATGACAGTTACCAATAAAACTAATGTGATATTGACCCAGTACAACCTCCTCTCTTTCGAACCAGAAG